CTTACCCGTTTTCTTCGTACTACTGTTGTTGTTATTCTTATTATTCCTCTTCTTCCTCTTCTTCCTCCTCCTTCCTCTTCTTCCTCTTCTTCCTCCTCCTCCTCTTCCTCTTTTTCCTCATCCTCCTCCTCCGCCTCCCTTTCCCACTTCCCCCTTCCGCCCCCTCCCCTCGTGCCTCAAAATCGCCCATCCCCCCCAGAGTAGGGGCGGGCTCTCACTCTTCGCCTTGATGCTGTTCCTAATCCTCATCCCGGGAAGACGCCAACCATACACCTACACCGATCCTGGCTGGGCTCATCCTGTACACGGGATCGATGTACACGCCCTCCTGGCTTTGGCAGAAACGCATATGCACGAATCGTGGGCCCCATATCAGCTTGGCAAGGATACTTGTACATAGTTGCCCTCCGATCCTCCTCTTCCTCCCTTTCCTCCCTCCCCTCGAGCATCAAAGTTGCCAACCGCCACCCCGGGCTGGAGCGGGCCTCCTCTCTCCTCCTCCGGCTGCTACTGCTGCTCCTACTCCTCCCTCCTCCTCCTCATCCCTTCCTCCTCCTCCTCCTCCTCCTCCTCCTCTTCTACTCCTCGCTTCCTCACTACTCCCCTTCCTCCTCGTGCTCCTCTTCCTCCCTCCCTCCCCTCCCTCCCTCCCTTTCTCCCTTTCTCCCTCCCTCCCTCCCTCCCTCCTCCTCCTCCTCCTCCTCCTCCTCCTCCACCTCCTCCTCCTCCTCCTCGACCCGAGCCAACGCACACTCGTGGTCCGCGCCACAGGCCACTTGCGCCGCCGCATGGCCGCAGCCAGAGGCGAGCGGCGCCGCCGAGCTGCTGAAACTGTCAAACGAGTTACCGCGCTCGCGAGCGTGTCCCGCCCTCGCGAACGGGGCCCGCCGACCCGAACGGGGCCACACGGAGCCTCCAGACCTTGCCCGCCAGGAGCCTGGCAGGGGACGTGGCCAGGTTCGCGAAGGCTCCGGAGCCCCGGGCCCCCCCTCAGGCGGCGGCGCGCCACGGGCAACTGGACGTCGAGCAGCCACCTGCGCCCCACCACGCCCACGCGCGCAACGCACCACACACCACCCACGCCGCCCCCCAATCCACGACCAATTGGAACGGGTGGGTGGCATGCTGGCACGCCTCTCTGCTGGACGCTGCTGGGATACACGCGAGATCGGCCCTCGAGAGAACGCGTGACGCCGACGTGGGCGGCGGCGGCAGCACCCTGGGAACAGGCGCGCGATAATAATTCGCAGCACGAGCAAACTTGACCTTGCCCGTACCACGCACAACATCGGCCAACGCGCGCAACCCAGGATGCCCACTGCTTCAGCACCTCAACTTTGGCACGCCAATCTTCACGACTGGCCCCAGGCACGCTCGGCTGCCTGTGCTGCCACCGGGCCCATTCCTCCGCGAAGTCGCTACCAGCATTGCGAAGATGAGAAGCGAGGCCGGCCTGCACGTGCGCGCTCGCGCCGTGCGCGCGCACCCTGACCGCGCGCGCGTGCTCGATCCCTCCCCAGTCACCAACGGGTCTCCTGGCATGTGGCAGCATGTGCACGACAAGCTCGACGGCGCGCGGTGGCACGAAGTGCCCGCCCACTGCGCCCTTCGTGGTGTTGAGCGCGGTGAGCTCAGTCGTCTGGAGTGGTTTGCCAATACGGCTGCCGATGACTATGCGAAGCGAGGTGCCTCTGTGGGCAGGACCCCCGAGACTGATCGCGCCGTCGTCGCAGGTGTCTTCGAACTGGCTCGATTGTTGTGCACGTTTGCAGCCGAGCAGAAGGCTCAGACCGGGGATAGCCAACAGTTCGATCATGTCGGTATCGATTGGCTGAGGCACGTATCTTTCGAGGGCCCCTCTCTCCACAAGGATGCGGTTTCCCCCCTTCTGAAGGGGCCCCAGGATACACAAATAAATACACACAACAGAACAAATATGCCCCATATTTTCATATTTTTTGGGGGGGTCCGTCTTCCCCCCCCCCCCCCACTTCCCATATGTTCCCACATTTTCTGGGGAATCGACGATTGAATGTGTCTGTGTGTTTCTTTCCCTCCTGACCTTCCTCCTCTCTCCCCCCCTCCGTGGGCGGCGGGACGGGTCGGGAGAGCGTGGGGAGTCCTGGGGATGCGTGTGCTGAAGGCAGGGGCTGAGTGGCCCGACCGCCATGTCTGGCCATGGCGGGGGCATGGCATCATGTAGGCGGGGGGTCACGGACCTCGAGGGCAGGGCCCAGGGCTCCCTCGTCGTCTGCCCCTCGCGCGGCTCGATTTTGTGCTGCTGGTGGTCATGGTGGCTAAGGCGCTCTCGCGTCTGACTGCTGGCGCGTCCGCTCGTCTGGGCCGGACCGTCAGTCGACTTGGACTTCGGAAAGCCGCCAGCCCTCGAAGAACATTCGCCAGGTTGCCAAGGCGTCCGCTTCGTCGGACCCAGGCCGCGACTTCCGTGCGGCGAAGATGGGCCTGGACGACCTCCCCTAGCTCGTGCAGCCGCGGTCCAGGAGTGCCCTGGCTTCTTCTCGGGCCGGGCGAACGGGGGGGATAGCAACGGGGGGGGGGTTTGAGAATCAGCTCACGCAGCTGATTTTCCCGGCGCCTCCTGGCGCCGGAGGCGGCCACGTATCGAAGAACGGGCCCCTCGGTGGGGCCGAAACCCGCTACATGCAGCAGATTTCGTACCGCAGGTTTGCGTCGTGTCGACCCAGGCGATGGTTTTTGACACCGCGGGAATCGTTCAACCTTGAACGATCGGCCGTTTCCGAAACGCCACATCGTTGAACATCGATCGATTCTGGGTCGCCGTCGGCGTTCAACGTTGAACTCCGGCGGCGGGGTCGCCGCTGGTCGACACGACACGATCTCCTCCTCCTCCTCATCCTCCTCCTCCCTCCTCCTCCTCCTCCTCCTCCTCTCCCCCTCCCCCCTCCTCCTCTCCCCTCCTCCTCCTTCCTCCTCCTCCTCCTCCTCCTCATTTCTCCTCCTCTCCTCCTCCCCCTCCTCCTCCTCCTCCTGCTCCTCCTCCTCCTCCTCCTCTTTCTCCTCCTCCTCGTCGCGAGGGTGGCGGGGCGGAAGGCGGGGGTCGGCCACGCGGGAAGAGGCTGCGCCTCTCGGGGATCGAGCGCGGGGGCGCCGGCGGCAGGCTGCGCCGCCACCTCCTGGGGACCCTGACCCCCAACTCGTTTGAGCTTGAGTCTGATGCGTGTGCAACCGAGGTGGCACCTTCACAGCCGCTGCCGAGCTCCTCCTCCTCCTCCTTCTCCTCCTCGATCCTCCTCCTCTCCTCCTCCTCTCCTCCTCCTCCTCCTCCTCCTCCCTCTCCTGAATCCTCCGCCGACTCCTCACTCCTCCTCCTCCTCCTCCTCCTCTCCTCCTTCCTCCTCCTTCTGTTCCTCTTCCTGTTCCTCCTCGTCATCCTCCTCTTCCTCCTCTTCCTCCTCCTCCTCCCCCCCGCTCCTCATCCTCCTCATTCTCCTCCCCCTCCCTCCCTCAGCCATGTCCTCGCCCGCCCCGTATTCTTTTCGTTTTCGTCGTAGAAGTGTTCGTAATCGGATGCGTGTTATTAGTCTTCTGAGTTCGTAGTATTACGGTCACTGCTATTACTACTATGATTATTATGATGTTCATTCGTTGTGCTGTTCTTACTAATATTCATAGTAGTATGTAGTACTACCATTCGTGCCCGTATTCTTATTGCTATTACTAGTATTGGTAGTATCAATGTGATTACGAGTCGCAGCATCATTCGTATTACGATAATTAATACTATGATGGTGCCTAGCAGTATTCGTGTTGTTATTGGTTTACCTCGTATTATTCCTGTTCGCCATGCTATTGCTGTTCATCTGACTATTCGTATTGTTATCAGCCTTACCATCCAGGTGTTAATGTGTACTATTAGTACCATTGTTATAGTCGTGGGATTCTCGTGATTATTCCTCTTCGTCCTCCTGCTCCTCCTCCTCATCCTCCTCCTCCTCCTCCTCCTCGGTCCCCCGCCTTGCTCAAACGGGTGGGTCTGGTACATGATGGGTTCGGCGCCCGACGCCGTGGGGGAGCTGTCGCCCGGCGGCGACTCGTCGCCCACCTCGTCTCGAGGGCGGGGTGAAGGAGCAGGGACTCCCCCTCCCTCCTCCCTCCTCCCTCCCCATCCCTCCTCCCTCCTCCCTCCCCCCCGTCCTCCCGCGTCTCTCATTGCGCCCCCCCTCTTCTTCCTCTGCCGCATCCTCCTCTTGCTGCTTCCTCATGCTCCCTTTCCCGTTCTTCGTCCTGTCCCTCCTCCCCCTCCTCCCCCTCCTCATCCCTCCTCTTCCTCCTGGCCCTCGGTACTTCTCGGGCTTGTTGACACTGACTCTTCAGAACGGCTGGGTGTCATCGGGCCATTTTCGCTACGTCGCCCATCAGAACCACGGCGCCACGATGTCATCCAAGTCCTCGCGCTGGCCGGACTCTCGGCAGAGTGCTGCCCGCTGGACCTGCGTGCGCTGTGGCTGCAAGCGTAACGAGTACTCGTACAGCGTGCGCACGCACTGCAGGCGATGGTGGAACGACCCCCCCGCGAGCACGACGGATGCCGCCGCCGCGACCCCGCGCGGCGATGCTGCAGCCCTTCGGCCCTTCGGCGTGAGTCGGGTCGGGCAAAAGGGTGGGATAGCAAAGGGGGGGTTTGAGAATCAGCTCACGTAGCTGATTTTCCCGGCGCCTCCCAGCGCCGGAGGCGGCCATGTATCGAGGAATGGGCCCCTCGGTGAGGCCGAAACCAGCTGCATGCAGCAAATTTCGTGCCCCCCTCTTTCCCAATCCCCCCCTTCCGCCCGGCCCGAGTGAGGCCGCAGGAGTGGCAGCAGGTCAGCGCGCACCCGCCGCGCCTGCAGCATCGACCGCCTCTGCCGCCACCGCAGAGCTGGAGGAGCAGCCGCTGGCCCTCGGCGGAGAAGGCGGGCAGCGCAGCCATTGGCGCCGCCCAGGTGCAGCGGGAGCTGGCCAGGAGGCCGCAGTCCCGCCCCGGCAGAGAGCTGATGCTGCCCACTGAGGAGATCGTTCGCTTGGGAGGTGGGCTGGACAGCCAGCTCAAGGCTGTCCGGGGCCTGGAGCAGAAGCTCGCGACCCGGCGCGAGCAGCTGGAGACCGCCCTCACCGAGCTCGACCGGCATGGTGCTGAGCACAAGCAGGCGGTGGCGCAACTGCGCGCCAGCATGGCGCCTGGCCCGAAAGCGCCCAAAGGTCTCGATCACTGACATCCTAGAGGGTCACCTCACGGGCTTGGACGGGGACGAGAACGACCTCTTCGGGCTCGCGGAGCATGTCGACGTGGAGGAGCGCGATCTCCAGGAGGCGGCCAACCGAAAGGCACTGCACTCCTGGCGACCACCATCGAGGACGCGTGCGCTCCAGGCTGCTCGGCGAGCTCAAGGACAAGGCCACCAAGCTCAAGGCAGAGCAGGCAGAGCGACGGGCACGCCTCCTCGGCAAGAGGCCCCGGAGGGGAGGCTTCGGCATCGGCTCGCGGAGCTGCTCCGGAGCCCGCCCAGCCCTGCCTCCTCCTCCTCCTCCTCGTCCTACTCCTCCTCCTCCTCCTCCACCTCCCCCTCCTCCTCCTCCTCCTCCTCCTCCTACTCCTTCCTCCTCCTCCTTCCTCCTCCTCCTCCTCATCTTCCTCCTCCTCCTCCTCCTCCTCCTTCCTCCTCTTCCTCCTCCTCCTCCTCCTCCTCCTCCTCCTCCTCCTCCCCCTCCTCCCTTTCCTCCTCCTCCTCCTTCTCCAGTTCGCGCGGCCCCTGGCGCTCAGGGCCCCGCCCAGGATCCCCGGGAGGGTGCTGCCGCGCCCGTGCCCAGCTCGCCCCGTGCTCCAGCGCCTGCCAACCTGCCATCGCTCGGACGTCTATTCCATGTTTTTTTTTGTTTCGTGCGTGGCTTTTTCGCCAAATGATCAAGGATGCGCTTCGATGGTCCTCGCCGAAGGAAAGAAGCACACGTCCGAGCGATGCCGAGGTCAATGCTATGGATTCAGGCGCCGCCGCTTCGCAGGCGCCGCCAGAGGCCGCCCCGTCTGCCGGCCCCGCCAGCGTGCGCGCCCGGGCCCGGCAGGCCGCGCAGCGCGGCGCGGGCTCGGCGGAGGGGGCCCCGGGTGGCAGGCCAGCTCGTGGGTAACGTGCCCGTGGTGACGAGCCCCGGCCCGTACCCCAGGATCCAACCCTCCTGCCCGGTGTTGGATGCCTCAGGCACGTCGGCAGCGCATCGCGGCTTGGGGGGCCAATGGGAATCTCTGGGTTTGGAATGCGTTACCGCCCACTGCACTTCATGGTCATCGATGGCGCATTTCCTGCCCACTACCACGGCCGACGCGGCGACGTGCCAGGAGCATGACCTCACCTGCGACGAGGAGATACGTAAAACGAAAGCTTGGTGTCTTCGAGACGGGTTGAGTCAAATTTTGAATCAGGGACCCTGGGGCCCAACGGAGGAGCCTGGGGCCACGCAGGGCAGCGAGGGGGCCAAAAAGAGCGACGACGGGGCCACGAAGGGCATGCATACGACGGGCGCGAACGAGCGGGGGCCACGAAGGGCATTTGTATAGTGGGCCGCAGAGGGCACTGAGGGCAGCGAGGGCGCCACGAAGGTCACGAAGGGCGACAACGGGGCCACGAAGCGCACGCACATGGGGCCACGACGGGCGCGAACGACCGGGGGCCACGAAGGGCATACATAGATGGGGCCACGAAGGGCAGCGAGGGGGCCACGAAGGGCTGCAACGGGACCACGAAAGGCTGCAACGGGACCACGAAGGGCAGCGAGGGGGCCACGAATGGCTGCAACGGCGCCACGAAGGGCAGCGAGGGGGCCACGAAGCGCATGCATATGGTGCCACGACGGGCAGCGAGGGGACCACGAAAGGCAGCGAGGGGGCCACGAAGGGCTGCAACGGGGCCTCGAAGGGCAGCGAGGGTGTCACGAAAGGCTGCAACGGGGCCACGAAAGGCAGCGAGGGTGTCACGAAAGGCTGCAACGGGGCCACGAAGGGCAGCGAGGGGGGCACGAATGGCTGCAACGGGGCCACGAAGATCAGCGAGGGGGCCACGAAGCGCAGCAACGGGGCCACGGAAGGGAAGGGCCACGAAGGGCTGCGGCCACGTAAGGCGGCTGCAACGGTGTCACGAAGGGCTACAACGGGGCCAAGAAGGGCAGAAATGAGGGCCACGAGGGGCTGCAACGGGGCCACGAAGGCCAGCGAGGAGGCCACGAATGGCTGCAACGGGGCCACTCAGGGCAGCGAGGGGGCCACGAATGGCAGCGAGGGGGCCACGAAGCGCATGCATATGGTGCCACGAAGGGCAGCGAGGGGGCACCAAAGCGCAGCAGCGGGGCCACGAAGGGCAAGCGAGGGTGCCACGAAGGGCTGCAACGGGACCACGACGGGCAGCGAGGGGGCCACGAAGGGCTGCAACGGGGCCACGACGGGCTGCAACGAGGGGGCTACGAAGCGCAGCGACGGGGCCACGAAGGGCGGCGAGGGGACCACGAAGGCCAGCGATGGGGGCCGCGAGTGGCTGTAACGGGGCCACGAAGGGCAGCAAGGGGGCCACGAAGGGCCGCAACGGGGCCACGAAGGGCAGCGAGGGGGCCACGAAGGGCTGCAACGGTGTCACGAAGGGCAGTGAGGGGGGCCACGAAGCGCAAGCATATGGGGCCACGAAGGGCAGCGAGAGGGCCACGAAGCGCAGGCAGATGGTGCCATGACGAGCAGCGAGGGGGCCACGAAAGGCTGCGAAGGGGGCCACGAAGCGCATGCATATGGGGTCACGACGGGCAGCGAGGGGGCCACGAAGCGCATGCATATGGTGCCACGACGGGCAACGAGGGGGCCACGAAAGGCAGCGAGGGTGTCACGAAAGGCTGCGACGGGGCCACGAAGGGCAGCGAGGGGTCCACGAATTGCTGCAACGGGGCCACGCAGGGCAGCGAGGGAGCCACGAAGGGCGACAACGGCGCCACGAAGCGCACGCACATGGGGCCACGACGGGCGCGAACGACCGGGGGCCACGAAGGGCATACATAGATGGGCCCACGGAGGGCAGGGAGGGTGCCACGAAAGGCTGCAACAAGGCCACGAAGGGCAGCGAGGGAGCCACGAAGGGCAGCAACGGGGCCACGAAGGGCAGCGAGGGGGCCACGAAGGGCTGCAACGGGACCACGAAAGGCTGCAACGAGGCCACGAAGGGCAGCGAGAAAGCCACGACGGGCTGCAAGTGGACCACGAAGGGCAGCGAGATCCCGATGCCTAAATAAGCTGTAGGGAAGTCCTAAGCGTGAGCGCGACTGCTGGGTGCCTGAGTGTCGGGAGCGCGGCGCTTGAGTAAATTGCAAGGTTCTCCAACGCAAGGTCGCGATTCTTGAGTAAACGGCAAGCGAGTCTCCAGCGAGAGCGCGACTCCAGGCGCCGAGAGAGCGATTCCAGAATAGATTCAAAGGAAGTCCCAATCGAGAGCGCGATTCGTAAATACCATGAGAGGACGTCTCAGGCGGGAGCGGGGGTCCTGGGTAAGTTGAAAAACATCAGGCGGGAACCGTTGCTGTTGCAACCTGGGGGCCAACAGCGCAGTCTGACCCTAGTGACTTTCACGGCTAAGAAATATAGTGCGAAGCCCCGGGTAAGCACTTCGAATGCAAATACACAAAATAGTCAGCAGAGGGGAGGATCAACAATAACAACAACGACGACGACAACGACAATAAAAACAGCAACGACAACAACAACATAAACAACATCAACAACATCAACAACAACACCAACATCAACAACAACACCACCAACAACAACCACCACCACCAAACTCACACCCCACTTACTCCTTCACTTCCTCCCCTTCCTCCCCGTCCTCCCTCCTCCTCCGCGCCCTCCCCGAATCACCAAGAACGTCGGGCAAGCGCGGCCGTGGCGGCGGGAAGGGGTCGTTGGTTCAAGAGTAGACAACATCATAAGCGAAACGCCCCCTGCGGCTAAAGAGGGAGAAGGGACACGGGAGGAGGAGGAGGAGGAGGTAAAAGGGAATTGAAAGTAGCGGCGGTTAGAGGTGCCTGCACCGAGATCGACCTAACACTCTCGGTGCCAGGATGAAGAGGATGACGACGACCACGACGACGAAGGGGGCCAAAAGGGAGGGAAAAACAGGTAGGGGGAAGGAGGGGGAGGAGGACGAGGAGGAGGGGGAGGAGGAGAGACAAAGAGAGGGGGGGGACATGAAGCATAGATGGGCTTGGGTCCGAAGACCCAGGTCCATAAGGAGAGGGGGGTAGGAAGCAAGCCCTGTGGGTGAACATACAGATTCCAAAAGAGGGGGAAGGGGGGGTGGGGGAGGGGGAGGAGGAAGAGGATGGGAGGAGAGGGGGAAGAAGACGCAGAGAAGAAGGGCGGATTTTCCTGATTTCTCTGGAAGCGCACGCACGTGCACTCCTCAATCGCTGCTGCCGCAATCCCCCCTCACCAGCCAGCCTCATTCCGCTGGCGAGGGCCCTGGGACAATGATGGGCGGAACGGGACAGGCACTCATCACTGGGCGAGGGCCCCAGGCGCGGCCCAGGGGCCCCGCCAGGAGCACGCAATATCGCCGCAGCTCGATCCGCCGTGTCCGCCAAAGTGGCCGCAGGAGGTCCTCGATGAAAAGGGGCCAATTGTTAACTCTAGCGAGGTTCGCACGGCCCTTCTTCGAAGGGGCCGCCTCGCCTTTAGACGCGCGCCCCCCTGCGAGCCCCCCGCCGCAAACGGTGGCAGCGAAGCCACGGGGGGAACAAAACTTGACGCCGAACTCCTTCATCAAGTGCAGCCTACGAGTGGAGTGGAGCTTCACTCCGCCGACCCATACCACGCCTCCGCCGCGACTAGAGTTTTGGATGCTTTGACCGGTTCCTTCAGGCGCTTGGCGCACGCAGCGGTCGCTTGTTGCAGGGCCTGGTCGTTAGATTTGGGCGCAGGCTTCGGATTCTTCTCTTCCACGAGCTGCGACGCCTGCTGCACCAAGTATGATATGTCGTCATGCGGATCGATGCCCCCTCTCCTGAGGGCAAGAGCGATGGCCAGCTCGAGCGTCTTGTTCAGCTTGGGGAGTGCAGGCCATTCGTCCCTGTCGAGCATGATGGCGGAGTCTGAAGCAGCTCAATGGGACCACCACGCCACCGACGAGGAAGTAGTCCACCCAGGCTGAGCTGCTCCGCGCACTCCGCACATACCTTTTCTGGCGCTTGAGCCGCCAGTTGTAGCACCAGTTCCCGCAGCCATGGCAATACATGAACTGGTTCTGAAACTTCTTTGGCACATTGCTCCCGCAGGGGCTCACTGAAAGACCGTCGGGTGAACACCCTGGCGCTGCCGCGGACCAGCGGTATCCACTTGGCTCGCTGCGAACCTCAAACCGTTGGGCCAAAATGGCCATGGAGAGAAGAGGGGCGGAGGGAGGAAGGGGGAGTAGGGAGGAGGGAGAGGGGAGGAGGGAGGAGGGAGGGAGGAGCAGACGAAGAGGGAGAGGGGAGGAGGGAGAGGAGAGTAGGGAGGAGGAGGGAGAGGGGAGGAGGGAGAGGAGGGAGAGGGAGGGGAGGATGGAGGGGGGGAGGAGGGAGGGGGGGAGAGGGGAGGGAGGAGGGAGTGGGTAGGAGGGAGGGGGAGGAGGGAGGAGGGGGAGGGAGAGGAGGGAGAGGGGAGGAGGGAGAGGAGGGAGAGGGGAGGAGGGAGAGGGAGAGAGGGATGGGGAGGAGGCGAGGGGAGGGCGGAGAAGAGACCGGGGCCCGCCCGAGGCGGGGGCACGGCCGAGGCGGCGGAGAGCTGCACACCGAGGGGGAGGAGGAGGAGGAGGAGGGGAGGAGGAGGAGAGAGGAGAGAGGAGGAGAGGAGGAGGAGGGGAGGAGGAGGAGGAGGAGGAGGAGGAGGGAGGAGGAGGAGGAGGAGGAGGAGGAGGAGGAGGAGGAGGAGGAGGAGGAGAGGAGGAGGAGGAGGAGGAGGGGGAGGAAGGAGGAGGAGGAGGAGGATGGAGGAGGAGGAGGGGAGGAGGAGGAGGGAGGAGGAGGAGGAGGAGGAGGAGGGGGGGGGAGGAGGAGCAGGAGGAGGAGGAGGAGGAGAGGAGGGAGGAGGAGGAGGAGGAGGAGGAGGAGGGGGAGGGAGGAGGAGAGGGGAGGAGGGGGAGGAGGAGGAGGAGGGAGGAGGAGGAGGAGGAGGAGGAGGAGGTGGAGGAGGAGGAGGGGAGGAGGAGGAGGAGGAGGAGGAGGAGGAGGAGGAGGAGGAGGGAGGAGGAGGGAGGAGGAGGAGGAGGAGGAGGGAGGAGGAGGAGGAGGAGGAGGACGAGGAGGAGGAGGAGGAGGAGAGGAGGAGGAGGAGGAGGAGGAGGAGGAGGAGGAGGAGGAGGGGGAAGGGGGTGAGGGGGGCTGGAGGTCGCCCACCAGGTGCCAGCTGCTGGGCCGGCTGGTGCCCACCACGCCCCTGATCGTGAAGTCCGCCGGGCGCCACGCGCCGGAGGGCTGTAGGAGGAGTCGAGGAAGGAGGGAGGGATCGGCACGGGCTCTCGGCCGCCCACAAGAAGTGCAGACCGAGTGGAAATGCAACTCTCACCGAACTTGCAAGAAGCACGGTTTCCCAAACCCATCAAAGATGTGATGATCGTTTCGGGGCGCGTGGTCGGCGAGAAGGCTGGCGTTGGTCCTGGCTGGGAACAACACCTGCCCAGAACGCGTCCTAAAGCATTGGGTCGATTAGTGGACGCATGCCCATCTCAAGGGAGGGAGGTGAGCACCGTTTAACACTTCGGCGGGCGAGGGGGGGAAGCGAGAAAGGGCGGGCCTTCTCAGAAGGCTCAGAAGTCCCCCGGCCTTCTGAGAAGTTTCCCAAGCCTCCCCCGAAGACAGAACAATCTTATCTTCTCGGAAGGCCGGAGGGCCTCTGAGAGGTCCCGCCGCCTCCTGAGAAGGCCTCCACTCGGGTCGGGCGAAAGGGGTGGATAGCAAAGGGGGGGTTTGAGAATCAGCTCGCGTAGCTGATTTTCCCGGCGCCTCCCGGCGCCGGGAGGCGGCCATGTCTCGAGGAATGGGCCCCTCGGTGGGGCCGAAACCAGCTGCACGCAGCAGATTTCGCACCCCCCCCTTTCCCAATCCCCCCCCTTTCGTCCGGCCCGATCCACCTCCTCATTTCCCCCCCTCGCTCGCCGCCGGTTCGTGGACGCGTGCCCACCCCCCGGGAGGGAGGTGAGCGCCGTGGAGCCGATGCCCGTCCCCACCGACGAGGCCTCGGCCACGCCGGCCGACGCACCTCCCCGGCCGGGCCCTGCGGGGCCTATATGAAGGGGCCCTGGGGCACACAAAAAAATATACACAATTAACAGGATTCCCCATATTTTCCCATATCTTCTGGGATTTCGTCTTCCCCCCCACTTCCTATATTTTCCCATATTTTCTGGGCAACCGACGATTAGTTGTGTCTGTGTGTTTTTCCCCCTCCTGACTATAGTCCCACCTGGGCGGGTGGCCTGACGAGCCTGAGATCATTACCACGGCTCTGTGGGGACGGGGACGGGGATCGGTACAGGGCTGGACCTAGACGTGGTTTGTCGTCTCGTGTTCGTTTTGCTCTTCGTTCTGCTCGCCCTGTCTTCCTGTGCCTCCCCGCCAGAACGAAAGACACAACACGGCCGAAGTCCAGCAAAACAGCGTTCAGGTCCAGCCCTGGATCGGTGAAACGATGCTGCGGGGAGAGAGAGAGCTCAGACTCCATTGCTGTGAACCAGGTGGACAAAATCTGCGCCGGCGTGTCCGGCTCGAGGGGTGCCGCGCAGAAGTGGGGCGGGGGGCTCGGGGCGAGTCATTGTCGGAATCGGAGGAGGAGGAGGCGGAGGAGGAGGAGGCGAAGGAGGCGGAGGAGGAGGCGGAGGAGGAGGCGGAGGAGGCGGAGGACGGGGAGGCGGCGGAGAGGAGGAGGCGGAGGCGGAGGAGGAGGAGGAGGGAGGAGGAGGAGGAGGAGGGGAGGAGGAGAGAGGCGGGGAGGCTGGGAGGAAGAGGAGGAGGAGGAGGAGGAGGAGGAGGAGGAGTCGCGTTGCACACTCGTCTCCGCGGTCTCGCGCCCGTCTCCCGGAGAAGCGCGCCGTCCAGCCCAGGCCGAGACGCGCGGAGCGCGACCATCCTCGCGCCCCCGCGGGTGACCCAGCCACTACTCCATGGGCCCATCCCTAGGGGAACAAAAAGTGATATAAACATAAAAACTCGGAGGTCCGCGCAGATTTCTCGGATCGGCGCTGGACCCCCCTCCCTGGCGCGCGGAGCGCGCCAGGGGCGGCGCCGGAGGCGCCGCCGGGGGGGCCCAGCGCCGATCCGAGAAATCCGCGCGGACCTCCGAGTTTTTATATTTATGTCACTTTTTGTTCCTCTGATCCCAGGCCTCCAGATGGGGTGCGAGTAGCCGGGGGTCGAAGAATCGCCCCGCATCCCCAATGCATCGCTGATGCGTCGGCGATGCATCGGCGGCGTCGTCAACACGTCGGCGACGTCGACGTGGAGAAAATCGAGCTCCACGCGGTCCTCCGACCCCGTCTCGGACACCGTTTGGGAGGCCTGGGTGCAAGCCCATGGCCGACCTCCGCCAACCCCGATGTCCGACTCCGTGGGCAACGATCGCGGCGCCGCGAAAATCAGGGATCTACTGACCCGGGTCAATCCAAGCCCGAGCCAGTCGGGCCTTGCAGGATCCTGCAAGATCCTGCAGGATCCTGAAAGATCCTGCACCCAAGCCAGGGTCAACGAGCAGAAGAAAAAAACACCATAAACATAAACTTTTGGCGCTCCGCACAGATTTCTTGGATCTGCGCCGGAAGCCCCCCTCCCTGGCGCGCGGAGCGCGCCAGGGACGGCTCCAGAGGCGCCGCCAGGGGGGCCTAGCGCGGATGCGAGAGATCCGCGCGGAGCGCCCAAAGTTTATGTTTCTGGCATTGTTTCTTCTTCGAGCTCTGACTGACCCTCGTTTGCATTGATCCCCGTCCCTCGGGCCCCCCGGGAAGAGACACGACGGCAGCTCCGGGCCCTGCCTCGGCTGCTCTCAGGGCCGCGGGCCGGACGGCCTGGGCACCCGAGGATCTAGGACGGGGCCCCGGGCGGAGTTCGCACTGCTTCGGACGCCTCGTCCTCGACACTGGAGCAGGAGCAGGAGCAGGAGGAGGAGGAGGAGGAGGAGGAGGAGGAGGAGGAGGAGGAGGAGGAGCAGGAGAGGAGCAGCGGGCTCGTTTTCTCCTTCGGTCGGCCTCTCACCGGCTGCGTGGTGGGACTCTGCTGTTTGGGGGCCTCCTCGGCTGCAAGCCCGAGGCGAAAAAGCTATGCGGCCGCTGGGCCGGGAGGCCAAGGAAAGCCCGGGCCCGACCAGGGCCTGTGGAGACTCGGCGGTGTCTGGATCTCTTCCCGGGGAGATGGTCGGTTCGGGCGACAGGGGAGGGATGAAGGGAGGGATTGATCAATCAGCCCACGGAGCCGATTCTCCCAGCGCCTCCCAGCGCCGGAGGCGCCCGTGCATCGAGGCAAGCGCCAGGCGGCGGAAGCAGAGCCAGCTGCACGCAGCCAGATTCGTATCCCCCCCCCCCTCCCATTCCCCCTCCCCTGCCCTAGTGCCCCCCCCTTCCCTGGCCCCCTCCCCTTCCCTGGCTCCCCCCGCCCTGGCCCCTGGAATTCGTATCCCGCCCCCCCCCCTCCCTGGCCCCTTCCCTAGCTCCTCCTGCCCTAGCCCCCGGAATTCGTACCCCGCCCCCCCCCCCTTCCCTGGCCCCCTCCCCTTCGCCCGTCCGAGCCGAGAGGAACGCCCAGCGGCGCGCGCGCGCGCCCACGGGCACTCGCGGCACCGCCAGACTGGAAGGGCCGCAGCACCGTCGGCGGTGGCGGACACCGCCTCAGGTGATCGCTCTGGAAAGGGGGACTGGGACACACAAATGAGTACACACAAGTAAGAATATCCCCCATATTTTTCCATATCTTCTGGGTGTCTGTCTTCCCCCCCCTACTTCCCATATTTTCCCATATTTCCTGGGGATCGCCGATGAATTGTGTCTGTCTGTTTTTTCCCCTCCTGAGCTCTGGGGGCCTTCCTGGAGCCACCCGCTCGGCTCACGCCCACGGGTGCTGTGCCGAGCGCAGTTATACGTCGCCTGCCGCCGGCATCTGTGCCGGGCTCGCGTCAGGCCAGAATGAAGGGGCCCCAGGACACACAAATAATACACACAAATTATTCACTGCGTGGAGCTCCCCATATGTGCATCTACTCGCATGGACCTGTCCGCCGTGAATGTCTAGGCGCAAGAGCTTTCGAATATTAACGGGCTTCAGTTGTGACGGTCTGGACATCAACCTAACTGCGAATGAATTGGAGTGTGAATGAGCCTCAGTAGTACGAGCGCGTCTCTGTGCATGAGCCTGGGGCCTCCTGGGGCCTCCTGAAACCTACTGGGGCTTCCTGGGGTCTCCAGGAGCCTCTTGGGACCTCCTGGGACCTCCTAGGAAGGTTTCGTGCCCCAGGAGAGGCGCAATCTATAGCAACAGACGTACATAAAACATTGCGGATTAGAGCCACAGGAGAAGGGCAATCTATAGGAACACGCGTAAAACACCAAGGACTCGTGCCCCAGGAGAGGCCCAATACATAGGAACATGAGTAAAACATTTAGGATTGTGTACACAGGAGAAGGACCATCTATAGAAACATACGTAGAACATCAAAGAATCGTGCTCCAGGTGAGGCCCAATCGATAGGAGCATACGTAAAACACATGGGATTGGAGCCACTCCTGTTGCCTTCTGAGGCCTCCTGCTCCTGGGGCCTCTCGGGGCCTCCTGTTGCCTTCCGAGGCCTCCTGGCGCTTCCTGTTGCCTCCTGGGGCCTCCTGTGGTTTCCTGAGGCCTTCTGGAGCTTCCTGGGGCCTCCTGGAGCCTCTTGGGACATCCTGTGGCCTCTTGAGTCTTTCTGTGGCCTCCTGATGCCTCCTGGGACCTCATGTGGTCTCCTGGGGCCTCCTGGAGCCTGTTGGAGCCTCCTGTGGCATCCTGAGAAGAATCTGCGCCCACGAGCCTGGCCACCAAAACAAGCAAACCGATCGAGACATCCTCAAAATCTGGCCCACCTGGGGGGTGAAAATGAGCGCCTCGCTCGAGACATCCTCCAAATCTGCTCCGAAAGCGAAGGATGTTGAGCCCAGAAACAAGCAAACCGCCTGAGACATCCCCACAAAATGGCCGCGAACGAACCCGTGCAATCACCCCTGGCGGCTCCCCTTAGGGGTGCTGAAACCAGCGCCCCGCCTGAGACATCCTCACAATCTGCTCTCCAAGCGAAGGATGTTGAGCCCGGAAACAGGCAAACCGCCTGAGACATCCCCACAAAATGGCCGCGAACGAACCCGTGCAATCACCCCTGGCGGCTCCCCTTAGGGGTGCTGAAACGAGCGCCCCGCCTGAGACATCGTCCAAATCTGATGTGTGTTGAGTAAGTCTGAGCATGAGTAGGTCTGAGTATGAGTATGTCTGAGTATGAGTAAGTCTGTGTATGAGTAAGTCTGTGTATGAGTAAGCTGTGTATGAGTACGTCTGGGTGTGAGTAAGTCTGTGTATGAGTAAGTCTGTGTATGAGCATGTCTGAGTGTGAGTAAGTCTGAGTATGAGTAGGTCTGAGTATGAGTAAATCTGAGTATGAGTAAGTCTGTGTATGAGTAAGTCTGAGTATCTCCGACAGGAGGGGAGGAGGAAAGAGGAGGAGGAAGAGGGAGTAGGAGGCGTCCAAGTAATAACAAGAACCCCATCTTAGGATATGGGGAAAAAACATGTTCCTAATATTTTCCCACATGTTCTGGGTTTCTGCCTTCCCCCCCACACTTCCCATATTCTTGCGTATTTTCTTGGGATTCGACGATTCATTGTGTCTGTGTGTTTTTCCCCTCCTGATAGAAGCGAGCTAGACTTCAGCTGCAGAGGAGCAGATCCGCCAGGTGGACCCCACAGGGGTCCCCAGAGCGAGCATCCGAGCCTCTTGGGCGCTGCGTAATGGGGGATCATAAATGGGGGGGGGGGCGAGGGTGGTCCGAAAAGGTACCCAAACGGCACCTAAACGAGCCCCCTGGGGCTCCGGAGGGGCCCGAAAGGGGACCTTTTCTGACCCCCCCATTTGTGACCCCCCCATTAATCGGGGATGGACAAACCTCCCTTTAGTAAAACGTGGTTTAGTGAAAACGACTTCGGGCCCAAACCTGGCGGGCGCAAGCCTGGAAAATAACGGCCACGGCGCCCTCTCGAAAACCGAAAACGGACAATTCACTAATCGACGTGTCACTCTTGGGGGTTCTGTCCACCCCCGAATTAAGCCACGCCCGAGCCCCCCCTTTCTCGGCAACCTCCGGCCGCTCCACTGCCCGGGCTAACCCCGTGGGCGGCGGACGACCGGGCGGGCTCTGGAGCGTGCCTGGCCCCTCCCCCCGCTCCCTTGCCCTCCTCCGACGCCGCTGCCGGCGACTGCGAGGGTAATCGTCGACGACGCCGCTTGTTTTACGTCGCCGACGACGCCGATGCCGACGCCCACGACGGCCACGATCACTCTGACGACGACGTTTGACGGTGGCGGCGGCACGGCCCGCGCAAGATGGGCCAAGGAACAGAGGGGGGGATCTCGCGGGGCGCGCGGCAGCGGCCGGGATCGTGCGCGTAGAAGCCGCCGGCCACGCCAGTCTCCCCGCCGGCCTCACGTCGTGCGGTGGGCGCGAGGGAGGGAGAGTGAGGGGGGACTGAAGTTCCTCTGTTACGGAGCCGGCAGAGCGGGAGTCACGGCGGGCCCCCAGGAAAGAAACTCGCACGCAAATGTGGCAATCGAGGGCCGTTCAGCGCAGAGCAGGAAATCTTACTCGCAAACAGAAACGAGTAAAGCACCAATCGTTGCAATCAACACCGTCGATTCTGCTAGTTGCATTGCATAGAGTGGTTCCACTTAGTGAGGAGAAAGACTGGCAGTGCAATGGTAATTCGAGCGGATTGCCCGAACGCTGCACTCTGGTGGTGCGGGGGTGGTCGAGCAATTCAGCCGGCACATCAGAATGCCAGACCGCAAATGACTGACTGGCAGTGCGAGAAGTGTCTCCGTCCCGATGCGCTGGTCTGGCATGTCCAGCAAGAAACCCGCGCAGCGAGCAGCGAGCGCACGCATGTCGCGCGCAAGACATGCCAGAGGAAGCAATGGCGGTGCCTGTGATGCCGATACCCCGCGTGCAAAGTGCGCGGAACGCCCCGAGCCCGCAGCGACAGCCACGTGTGGGTTCCGCCTGGCGGAGCGGAGCCTTCCGAGCATCGCGTCGCCACGCGAACGCAGCGTCGAGGGCGCACGCCGCCGCTCTTGGGAGCGAGGCGAGACGAGGCATCGCGGTGCCGCGCCGAGGGGTCGGTACAGTACGGCCACCGTGGTACCAGAAGGAACGCTGACTGAGGAACGAAGGGGCTCTCCTGGCCGCGGCGAACCTGAGCCACGAACAGGCTTCACTGGGACACACAAATAAATACACACAAATAAAATTGTTCCCCATATTTCCCCATATTTTCTGGGTTTTTGTCTTCCCGCCCAATTCCCATATTTTCCCATATTTTCTGGGGAATCGACGATTAATTGTGTCTGTGTGTTTTTTCCCTCCTGAATAACTCCAGGGAGCGGCCCGACAGCCGGAGCCCCTCTTCAGCCCGAAGTGGTCCCCACGTCAGGGTCTTGACTGCACACCCTGCGGGAGTTGCACCTCGAGTGCGGCTGCGTCCTGGTCGGCGGGGCACCTCGATCTGCGCGCCAGCCTCTGGACGCAGCGCTGTGGGGGAAGCTGTGTGCCGCTGCCGCAATCGCGGCGCCGCAGGGCATCACGGCCTCGCTAGAGCCGCGGCGGCGATGCCGAGCGCTGAACAAGAGGGGCAGACAAACTGCAACGAGTGGTGCACATGCTCGCTCGCGAGCGGATGAGGAGAAGTACCATGTTAAGGAGAGATTGATATATGGCAATGGTTACGACGAGGCTAACAAGGAGGAGGAGGAGGAGGAGGAGGAGGGGGAGGACCACGAGGAGGAGGGGCAGCATCATCAGCAGCATGAGCATGAGCATGAGCAGCCGCAGGAATCACAAGGTTCGAGCCCCATGGCCCCCCCAGGAGGAGCTAACGCGCAGATCTCGTAATCAGTGTGTGCGTGTGTGTATGTGCGTGTGTGTGATGTTTGTGTGTTGTGTTGTGTGGTGTCTGCTGTGTGCAGCGTGCTGTGTGTCGTGTGTTGTGTGTTGTGTGAGTGTATGTTGTGTGCTGTGTGCTGTGTGCTGTGTGTTGTGTGTTGTGTGTTGTGTGTTGTGTTGCGTGTGCGCGTGTGTGTGTGTTTTAAATTACGGTCCCGAAGAGGCGGGACGAATCGTTGCAAGTTTCTTCGGGTCATCTTGGCGTCCCCTGGGCGTTTGGAGAAGGGGGGTCGGGGGACAGTTGCTGTCAGTCTCGAGGCGGCTGCCGGGCAGGGTATTGGAGCCTTCTCGGATCAGTCTTGGCCTCTGGGTACCATAGGGGAATAAAAATGGCATAAACATCAAAACTCGGAGGTCCGCGCGGATTTCTCGGATCGGCGCTGGGGCCCCCCGGCGGCGCCTCCGGCGCCGCCCCTGGCGCGCTCCGCGCGCCAGGGAGGGGGGTCCAGCGCCGATCTGAGAAATCCGCGCGGACCTCCGAGTTTTAATGTTTATGAGACTTTTTGTTTCCCTATACCACCTCCATTTCTGGGGCATGATCGTCGCCTGGGGAGCTTGGGAGCGCGGGCCTACTCTCTGCGTGTGTGTTAACCGAAGAGCTGTGACCCTGCGATCGCGGATGCAGCGCACTCTCGAGCGTCGCAGGAAGATGCGCGCGCGGAGGGGTAGAATGAGGAGGATGATGATGATGATGATGATGATGATGATGATGATGATGATGAGGAGGAGGAGGAGGAGGAGGAGGAGGAGGAGGAGGAGGAGGAGACGGAGGAGGAGGAGAAGGAGGAGGAGAAAGAGGAGGATTAGGAGGAGGAGGAGGAGGAGGATGGGGGAGGAGGAGGAGGAGGAGCAGGAGCAGGAGCAGGAGGAGGAGGAGGAGACGGAGGAGGAGAAGGAGGAGGAGAAGGAGGAGGAGGAGGAAAAGGAGGAGGAGGACGAGGAGGGGGCACGTTGGGAGCCTCCGTTGCACGTAGCATCCACACCCCTCGCAAGCAAGCGAAGTCGCCAGAGCGCAACACGACAGCTCTGCTCCTGCAGGGTTGCCGCCGAGCGCAGAATTTGCAAACGGTGGTGTTCGGGGGTGTATGACGGGGCCCTGGGACACACAAATTCGCTGGCCCAACGGGCCAGAGGCCAGAGGCGTGCTAAGATCTCCGGTAACTGGTTAACAGTATTTCTGGTTCGCGCGCGCGGAGCGGCCCCTGGGGGCCCCCGGACGGCAAAGTACCCTGGCCAGGTCCCGGTCAGGTCCCCAGAGCGCTCCAAGGAAGGGCCATTTTTCGACACCCCTCACGAGGATCGTGGCCTCCGAGGGGGGAGCCGCAATCGACTACCCCCCACTCCCGCCCCAAGAGGCCCCCAAGAGCCCCCCAAGAGGCCCTGGGGGTCCCCAAGACGCAGCCAACGAGCCCCAAGAGACTCCCAAGAGGTCCCCAAGAGGCCCCCAAGAGGCCCTAAAGAGGGCTCCAGGGCCGGCGGAATGAGCGAAGCGATTAAGTAAATACGCACAAATAACCGGATTCCCCATATTTTCGCATAGTTTCTGGGATTTTGTGTTCCCCCTCACTTCCCATATTTTCCCTATTTTCATGGGAATCGACTATTAATTGTGTCTGTGTTTGTTTCCCTCCTGCGTGTATGGATTCGACGCGAATCGGTGCCAACCGTTGCAGCTTCCTGCTGGCGTCCCTGGCGCGGAGTCGGGGGCCAAAATGCCAAGGGTCTTCAGGCCCTCGGGAGTGGTCTCGGCGCCGTCTTGGGCAGTCCTAGGCATCGGGGCCAAACCCACAAGTCCTGCCACGAGGGGTCCCGGAGGCCAGGGGAAAGCCCTTGCGGCTGGGGGTACGAAGTGTATGAGAAGTGCGCCGGAATTGGGATCGCTTCAGCCCTCTCTGGGGCTACGGCTGGTTCGCGTCGTGTCGACCTCGACGTTGGTCTCTGACACTGCGGGGATCGCTCAACCTTTAACGATCGGCCGCTGCCGCAACGTCCGATCGTTCAACATCGATCGATTCTGGGTCGCCGGCGGCGTTCAACCTTGAACGCCCGCGCTGGGGTCGCCGCCAGTCGACACGACGCGAGCCTACCGTATGTGGGTCGGGGCACAGAGTGCGGGGCTGTGCCGAATGGAAGCTCCTCGGGGCCGCCTGGGGCGCCAGCGGAGCGTCCTGTGGAGTCCATAGGGCGGCACGAAGAGTGCGTGAGCGGCGTGCCGACGTCAGGCTCAGTGGGTGCTCGGAGCGCCGATCCACCGGAGGTCTGCGCGTCCCTCGTGCCCTGGAGCACGTCGGTGTCGTGCGTGTACTCCAGATTTCGTAATAAAAGGGAGGGGGTCTGGCCCCTCCAAGACAAGCCATTCCAGACCTCCCCCCTGGGAGAACCCTCCAAAACATCGTCCCCAGACCCCCCAGGCCCTCCAAGATCGCCTGGAAGAGACCCCCCCCGAAATGAGACCCCCCTCCCTTTATTACGAAATCTGGTGTACGTGTCCCAGGGGAATCCGCGCGCGGATGCCCTCACGACGTCGGGGAATTTCCGGAGGTGCCGGGGGGCACACCGTGCGTGAGCGGCGCGCAGCGCAGATTTATACGTGTGCGCGCGGCTCCCCTCATGAGGCGACATTGTGGCAACCATGATGCAATAACTGCCAGCGAAATGCGCGAAGTCGGACCTGGCGTGCATTTACGCATGCAATATCACCAAGCCTGGATTTCATCATCACGTCATAATCTTTACTCGGGGCTCAACCCGGCGAGGGCCATCAAGGGGGCCGCCGAATTGAGCCCGAGGGGCGAGAATCACAATGGGCCCCCAATCGGAAAGAAGCACGCGAGACTCGCAATCGGTGGGAGTTCGGGGGGTACGGCTTCGACGAGGTACCAACCGTTGCAAGTGTTCTCTTGGAGCCGTGTTGGCTTCACAAGTTGAGATGAGGGGCGCCTCGGCGTCCCGTGGGGAACGTGGGGGCCAGTTTGCAGTGAAGTGGCACATCGCCGCAAGTTGCTGCTTCTCGATGGGGGCCTCCGCGAGGCCATACTTCGGCGGTGGACAAACCTCCCTTTAGCAGACTTCCCCTTCGTGAAAACGGCCTGGGACCGAAACCGACAGACCTGGACCCGCAAAAATGACGGCCGCGACGCCCTCTCGCGAAGCGAAAACGGCCAATTCCTCAGTCGACATGTCAGGGTAGGAGGTCTGTCCACCCCCGAATACTGGAGCCTCATGCGACCTCGTGGGCGCGTTCGGGTCTCTCGTGGGACGTCCCAAGGGGCAACTGCGGGCCTCCGTGGGTCTGGCGACCACGACGTGCGCGAGTGGCGTGCCGCAATGAGGCCCCCTTCTGAGGCGTCGTGAGAGCCAGCAGAGGGCCCTATGGGTTCTAGGGCACGAAGACGTGCGTGAAGGGTGCGCCGAAATGAGGCTCCCCATCGCCGTGTTGAGGGCCAGCAGTGGGGCACGAAGCGCTTGAAGGGTGTGCCAACCTGAGGCCCCCGTAGGCCATCTGGAGGAGCCAACTGGCCTTCGCCAGAGGTTCAAGATGCACGACGAGCGTGAGAGGTCTGCCGAGAGGCTCCCAGAAAAACGACAGAGCCAACCCCTGATATTGTTGTTACACCTCCCAGAGGCCTGAGGGCTCCAAACACGAGTGTCTCCACCCTCGCCCAAAGCTCCTCCTTCTCCTCCACCTCCTCCTCCTCCTTCTCCTCCTGGTTCACCTCCTCCTCCTCCTCCTCCTCCTCCTCCTCCTCCTCCTCCTCCTCCGCCGAATAAGCATCATCATCATCATCAGCATCATCATCATCATCATCATCATCACCATCACCATCACCATCACCATCACCATCACCATCACCATCATCATCATCATCATCATCATCATCATCATCATCATCATCATCATCATCATCATCATCATCATCATCATCATCATCGTCATCATCCTCATCATCAGCATCATCATCATCAGCAGCAGCAGCATCAGCATCAGCATCAGCATCAGCATCAGCATCATCATCATCATCATCATCATCATCATCAGCATCATCAGCATCATCATCATAATCAACAGCAGCATCAACATCATCAGCATCCGCATCATCATCATCAGCAGCAGCAGTATCATCATCATCAGCATCAGCATCATCATCATAATCAGCAGCATCAGCATCAGCATCGGCATCAGCATCAGCATCAACATCAGCATCAGCATCGTCATCAGCGTCATCATCAGCATCATCCTTCCTTCTCCCTCCTCCTCCCTTACTTCTCCCTTCACCTTTCTCCCTCCTCCCTCCTCCCCATCTCTCCTCCCCCCACTCCTGCTCCTCCCCCTCCTCTTCCTCCTCCTTCCCATCGCATCCCGATCCCCATCATGACCATTATCATTACTCATTACCATCATCTCGATCATCGTCCATCGTCGACATTATCATCATAATCACGATCACCACCACCATCATCCTCCTTCGCCTCCTCATCATCACCATTACCTCCACCACCATCATCATCAGCATCATCAGCACCATCATTATCCTCGTCCTCATCCTCCTCGTCATCATCCTCATCCTCATCATCATCCTCATCATCCTCATCATCACCATTATCAGCATCATCAGCTTCACCATCATCACCACCACCACGATCATCATCATCATCATCATCATCATCATCATCATCATCATCATCATCATCGTCATCATCATCATCAGCAGCAGCATCATCATCATCACCATCACCAGTACCAGTACCATCACCATCATCATCATCATCATCATCATCATCATCACCAGTACCGTCATCGTCACCACCATCCTTAGCAGCAACGTCAAAGTCAAAAGCATTACCATCTCCCACAGAGAGCCTCCTTGGGAAATTTCACCTCCGCGCCGGACTGCCAGTCGAAGATCCTGAGCGTCGCGTCGCCACCGGCCACCACGAGGCGGCGGTCGTCCAGCCGACAGGCGCCTCGGGCACAGGACCGAGGAGGAAGAGCAGGAGGAGGGAGGCGGGGAAACAGAGGGGAGGCAGGGAGGGAGGGAGGGAGGGAAGCAGAACGGAGGGAGGCAGGGAGGGAGGGAGGTTCCCAGGCTGGGGACCGCGAGATCTTCCAAACATGTTTTGATTCGCGGGTCGAGAGCGCACCTCTTCCGGTCGAAGCTGAGCGGGCCGCGCACAGCTTGAATTAACAAAGAGGGGGGGGGCAGAAGGAGGGGCCTCACGTCAAGGCCAGGAGGGGGCAAAGCCCGAGATCTTCCAAACATTCGATAGGAGACGGAGACCTGCTGACACGGGTCGATCCAGACCCGGGTCCGTCAGACCCTGCAGAATCCTGCAAAATCCTGCACCCCAGCCCGGGTCAATGCGAAGGATCCTGCAAGATCCTGCAGGATCCTGCGCCCAAGCCCGGGCCGATGCGACCCTGGCCCTGCAGGATCCTGCAAGATCCGGCGCTCTGGCTGACCCCCGTTTGCCTTGACCCCGTCCCCAGACCCCCGACGTAATGATTTTTTCATTACGTCGACCACCAGAGGTCCCGACCCTTTCCCCATGACCGGCTTTGCATCCTGAGTCGTTTTCTGACGCTCCCGAGGCCCGGTGAGGGCCCCCGGAGGCCGAAAATCAGGAAAAACCTCCCGTCATGATTTTTTCATTACTCGAGGGGGTCTGGGTCGCGAAGCTCCCGACATTCGATGGCGAAGGTGGCGCCGGCCGGGGCAGGCCCCCGCCGTGCCCGGAGGGGGACCGGGCGGCGGCGGCCGACCGGCTGCCCGAGCCGCGCGCTGCCCGCCGGAGCCGCGGGCGGGGACGCGCGAGCCCGCTGGCCGCGTGGAGCCAGGCGGCTCTCCGACGCCGCTGGGGGAGGAGGGGGAGGAGGGGGAGGAGGGGGAGGAGGAGGAGGAGGAGGAGGAGGAGGAGGAGGAGGAGGAGGAGGAGGAGGAGGAGGAGGAGGGGAGGAGGAGGAGGAGGAGGAGGAGGAGAGGAGGAGGAGGAGGAGTAGGCCGACCTGGCTCTGCAGTCCGCGGGGCCGCCCGCGAGCCCGCGAGCAGGCGGCAGCGGAGGTGAGCGGCGCGCGCCGGCCCGTGGGCCCCCTGCGGCCCGCCGCTGCAGCGCCGCCTGCGCGTCGCCGCCTGTGCTCCGCGGGGTTCTCGGCGCCGCCGCCGCGAGCGCGGCCGCGCGAGCGGATCAATATGAAGGGGCCCTGGGACACACAAATAAATACACACAAATAAAAAGATTCCCCATATTTTCCCATCTGTTCTGGGCTTCTGTCTTCCCCCCCACTTCCCAGATGTTCCCATATTGTTGGGGGAATCGCCGATTCATTGTGTCTGTGTGCTTCTTTCCCTCCTGACAATAAAAGAGGCGAGGGAGGAGGGAGGGCGGGGAGGAGGCGCACCTCGGGAGGGGAGGGGGGTCCAGGTTGGAGGGCCGAGGGCGGAGGTGGAGGACTTCTGGGGGCCGGCGGAGACTCCGGAGGCCCCTGGAGACAGAGGAGAGAAGGGAGGGGGGCCAGGAGGACGCCGACCACGTATACACCCGCACCGATCCTAGCCAGGCCCGTCCCAAGCCCAGGCATCGATCTATGTGCCCTCCTAGCCTGTCCGGGAAGACATACATATTATACCGATCCTGGGCCCAGGGCGCACCCAGCCAGGATCGGTGTGGGCGTGTATTCGGCGCCATACTGCAGGAGGGAGGCGGGGCAGGAGGAGGAGTAGACGGATGAGGCGGAGGAGGCGGAGGAGGAGCGAAAGAATGAACGAATACACGAATGAACGAACAAGCTTCGGAGACCGCTGAATGGTCTACTAAGAAAGCCAGGGGGAAGAGGACGAATAGCAATAACGATTTGGAAATCATGCATAAAACTGCTGATAATGATCGTGCTAATCCGAAACAGAATAATCAGCTTAATAAGACGAATCTTGATAAGCATAAACATAAGAACACGAATGATAATAAGAATGGAGGTTCGAGGGCCGATTAAGGATTTGTTTGGACGTTCTAGGCACTTGTGGGTCGATGGTGGCCTCTGGAGGCCTTTGTTTAGAGGATGCCGCCGAGAGAACCGCCACATGTCCACAATCCAACGCATCCATCCCTCACCTCACAAGAATGCCTGGACAAGGCAAGGCTCTCACGCTCCGATCCCAGAAGACAGGAACTCCTTGAGCGAAATCATCCCAACAGATGTCCCGCTTCCCGGCCAGAGCCCCATAGAGCCCGCGGGCCCAACCAACGCCGCTGGGTTCCAAGGGAACCTCCACACGGCTGGATCGAGGGATGGGCCGTCGGGAGGCGGGGGTTTTGCCCTGCCCGAGGTCCTTCAGTAGAGAGCAGAAAATCCGCCCTCACGAGAAGCACCCCTACAAGCCGGTGGGGAGACGCACCCAGGGAAGGAGCCGAACAGGGCAGGGCTGCTCAGTGAACGCCCAGGGGCGCTTAGCAAACGCCCATCCTCGGGGTCGGGGTGCCTTTCCTTCCTTGATCCGGCGCCCCCCCCCAGGAGAGCCCTGAATCGAATCGACAAGTCGGATCGGCAATCGACACGAATCGTATCGGCGGAAATCGGCAGCCGAGTCGGGAAAAGTCGAATCGACGGAAATCGGCAGGCTAGTATGCATCCATTGAAAAATCGGAACCCAAATCGGAATCCCAAGTCGAATCGAATCGGAATCGGAATCCATCGAAATCGGATCGAATCGAATCGGGGGAATCGAAACGAGCCCACCCGCGGGAAGCCGGGGGGCAACGGGGCCCCGCGCCTCCCAAAGTTGGGCCTCGCGCGGTCACCGCGCGCGCGCTGCACCCGGAGAAGCCCGCGGGGCCCACCCGACCACCAAAGCCGGCGCGCGACAAGCGGGCCTGAACTGACCTTTCGTCGGGGGAAAACAAACCTACCTCGCTTTTGACCACCCTCGCTTCCAAGAGATACCAAACGATGCCAAATTGCGGCCTGTACTGGTCAGGCCGCTTGACGAGGAGGCGCGTGGTATGGCTTGGTTTTGCCTGGAATAAGCGAAAGCGGGGGAGGTAATTCACGCTCTGATTTCGGTCGGAAGAAGTGGGCAGACACATGAAGTTGGAAGGCATTGGAAGGATGTTGGGCTTGCGCCCGCCCCCCGACGACGAGAAAAGGAGGGACAACCACTCGACACTCTTGAAGTAGGAGGGTGGCCAAAAAGTAGGTAGGGATCTGAGAGTCCCAAGACACCCACTTTCAACGACCGGCATGTACTTCACAGGGGCGCCTGGGCAACGATCCTTGACGAGCACGAGCTCCTGCCGCGCTGCAGTCAGCTCCACTGGCCGCCGCTCTACTTCGCTCGATGGCCCTTCGGGTCCGAGACGAGCTTGTGCGGGCCGAGCGCACGACGAAGACGGTGCTGGACGGCATCGGGGAATGCGACCAAATACCAGGAAACAATACAATGGGCCCACCGCGGCAGTGGCTGCTGAGCCCCCGCCTCCTCAGCAAAGGGATGTATCCTTGTGGATGTCACGACAATGGACACCCTAACAACTCTGAATTGATCGTCCTCCACAAATGTGATGGGCCTGCTTTCCACCACCACCACCATAAGTTGGAGGGGGGAAAGAGGGGGACGAGGAGGAGGAGGAGGAGGAAGAGGAGGAGGAGGAGGAAGAGGAGGAGGAGGAGGAAGAGGAGGAAGAGGAGGAGGAGGAGGAGGAGGAGGAGGAGGACCCCCTCCCCCTCCAACTTATGGTGGTGGTGGTGGAAAACAGGCCCATCAAAATGTATCCTCGCTCCTCGCCCCGCAAAATCATCGGCGAGCCTGCCGGACCCCCAAGCGCAGTCCACTGGCGCCATTTCCGCCCGCGCCTCCACCCGCTAGGTGCGCAGAAGGAACTGTTGTGATTCGACGCGGCCCTGGCTGATGTCGTTCATTGAGTTTCCACCAAATACTACGCAGCACTTCGACATACACTTTGGAAGGGGGCAACGCAGCACTTCGACATACACTTTAGAAGGGGGCAACGCACCCAATAGGTGCGCAAAAGGAACTGTTGTGATTCGACGCGGCCCTGGCTAAGGTCGTTCATTCGGGGATGGACAGACCTTCCTTTCGTAAAACGTGGTTTAGTGAAAACGACCTGAAGCCCAAACCTGGCGGGCGCAAACCTGGAAAATAGCGGCCGCGGCGCCCTCTCGACAACCGAGAACGGACAATTCACTGATCGACGTGTCACTGTTGGGGGTTCTGTCCACCCCCGATTCATTGAGCTTCAACCAAATATTGCGCAGCACTTCGAAATACACTCTGGAAAGGGGGCAGCGCGCCGCTGGTCCCGGCGCGGCCCCCTCCACCGAGGCCTTCCAGTCTGCGGCAACACGCATGCAGCCGTCACCATCGCGCAGGCACATTTAGGAATACAGTCGGGGCGTTGACCTAAGGAACCCAAAATAAGGAACGAGGCCCCTTTTTTCCATAAGTTAAACTTCGATTTCCGATCGAAAACATAAGGAAAACCTGAGGCAAGCTGCGAAACACTTCAGGAACGCGGAGCCCCTCCCCAACGAAAAGGGTTCCTTCTTCAGGGCCCCGACTGTACCCCATCTCGGCCAAGCCCATTCTAAAGGAACCGAACAAACAGGAGCCCCAAAAATGGCCCCTGCCGATTTGCAGCGCGGGCGGATGTTCACCCACGACCGGCCCGCCGTCGAGGCACGGGCGACAACAAAGGGGCCTGCGCAGGGCACCTGTCAATCCCGACGACCCCCGACGGCATGGCTCCTGCCACCGGGCCGTCGGTGCACAGGAGTCCGCCCAGCCTCGGCGTGGGCCGCAGCCCGAGTTGCCCCGACCTCCTCACACAATATCACGCCCGAGGAAACGATGGCTCACCGAAGTGGGTTCGGCCCTGCAGACCTCGCGAATCGGTGGGCCCCACCGAACGAGCCGCGAAGACGTCTTTGATCCGCGGACCTACTGGCGCATGGGGCCCAGGGAGATGCGCCGCCGACTTGCAAGCCTTCCCGTCGAAGCTGATGCTGGGCTTTGCGGATTGGCTCCAAAATGGAAGAGCACCAGAGTCTCTCGAGGCCAGGAGCGCTGCTGGTACGACTTCAAATAAGGCAGCTGGAGACTCGACGGCGTCCCCGACATCGAAGAATCCACGGCCTAGTGAAGGACCGCGCTGCACTCGTCTTGCCCGATGGTCATATCTTGCGGGGCCTCGTGTGTGAGCCTAAGGGAACACACCAAGGCTGTCATACCGCTAGCGCAAACGTGGACGCCAAAAACTACTATGGGCGACGTTTCCCGTACGATTTTGGATCATGTCTGCATTTTCGTATGTATAGTTCGAAGAGTTATGTACTGCCTATGCGCCGTTTGGGCGCCTGGCTGCCTTGCTTGCTTGCTGAAAGAAACGAAGAAGGGCACCACAAAATAATATGGACAGTTCCAAGACGCCGAGCTCCACGTGCCCTGGCAAAAGTGCACGTGCCTGGAGCCACCACGGCCGCGCCAAACGAAATGACCAATCCAGATCTGATGCAAGAAGGGTTTCGAGCGTCAGGTTCCAGTCCCCGTCGAGAGCGAAAGGCTGCCCCGTAGCCTCGAGGGCGTCCCAAAACTTCTTCATGATGAGGAAAGACTGCTCGTCCAGGGTGCCCCGCGTGACGAGATGGGCCAGGCCCGCCAGATTACTTTCTGAGAGCGGTCCGTTGACCCACATCCAACAGAATCGCTCTGAGGGGCACGGGCATTTCGGGATCCGTCATCGTGCCTCTGGCAAGGTGCCCCAGGGCTCATGCAGCACCGAGAGGGCCGTGCTGCTGCTGCTGCAGCCAGATTTTGAAGTCTTCAAGGGCCCGGACCAATCGTTCCCCGGGCTGCTCCCAGTCAGACGCAATCGCTCGCGTCGGCCTGCCCCGCCCAGGCGGGCCCCCAAACGAGCCCACGTGGCTCCAAGAGGCACCCACAACTGTCAAAAAGGGGCCCCGAGCCGCCCCAAGATCGCTCCAAGAGACGCGAACGAGGGCCTCCAGACGGCCCAACGAGCCCCCAGGAGGCGCACGGGATGGCGTGGACCGCCCGAGTCTCCTCGGGCTGCGCCTGCAAGGCTCCCATGGCCGCGACGAGGCCGTCGACCGCCATGCGCACTGCCGCAAACTGGTCGAGGCCAAGGGCCGCAGCGGCCGCAGCCCCGCTCGGCCCTGCCAGCGCCGGCGAGGCATCGGCACGACCCCGATCGCACTTCTCCTGCAGAGCCTCCACGGGATCTTCAGCTGAGCCCTCTGGAGCTTTGCTTGGGTCTGCAGCAGCTGCGATGAGAGGGTGCCCACCAGCTGAGAAGCAGGGTGGGCCTCCTGCGCAGGCCGCGCAAGCCCCACAGCAGACATGGCCCGCCCGTGCGCAAGAGTGTCGCGCCGAATCTGCCCGAGGGAACCTGCGAGGGCCGCGAACCAGGACTTGTTGAGTGCGGCCCAACTGGCCATTTCCTCCTCGCTGAAGAGACGAGTTCAAGCACCACCAGGAGCCCCTTCCCCAATTTGCCTCCCCCAATCGTCCCTTACAGATGCTCCGCCGGAAAACCTCAAACCTTTTTCCTCCTCCTTATCCTGCAAACGAATCGCCCTCCTGTCATCCTATATCTTCCCTCCTGCGGCCATGACGGAGGCGCCTTGAGGTATGGCGCGGACCTTGAGGACATGCCCGGCCCTCTCGCGCTTCCGCCAGTCCCACACCGTCACCTGGAGGAAATGGCAACTCTGAGAACACAGTGCAGGACGAACCTCGCCCTTCATTCTTCATACGAGGCGGGAATTTATCCATCACCACCGCCTTCGGGATCATCATGGGGGATGTCGGCGGGTGGTGGACATGGATTTATTCGCCCTGCCCCCCCAGGGCACGGATATATCCATATCCGCCGCTGCCGCTTGCCGACGTCCCCGAATATCGATCCCCCAGACAATTGTGATTGATAAGTCTCCGCCTCGGGTTTCATTATCCCTCCTCCCTACTCGCAACGAAGCTGGCGCAACCTATGCGGTGACGTCGGGTGCCGGTGCAAAACCACTCAGCGCGTCGTAGCATCCATCTCCACCCGCCAATCCCGCATCCACCTCCCTTGATGTCCCGCAGTGCAGCGGCAATCCTCTTCCTCCCTCCCCGATCCCGCCTCTGGAGTATGTCCTCCAGCCGAGGTTGGTGACACCAGCCCAAATGACCTAGCCATGAGTGACCAGTGAACTTTTTGGAGTTTGGCAAGCCTGAGATCGATCCCTTAAGCAACAAATGCTGTACTGCTGATGAGCAGGATTTTGGCGAAAACATCGCTAGCAACCCTATAAACTCAGTGATGCCCAAGGTCAAACTCTACAAAGGGCAGAACCATGTCATGCTGGGGGGGCACAAGCCCGTCCGCGAAAGCCAAGGAAGGCCGTTGAATTATTAGCCAGAGGATCCCAATATTCTGACATTATGAACGGTCTGTGAGCTTGCTCTGCTCCCGTCTGTGGGTGTATGTCCCCACTGGGCTGGACCATTGACTTCGACGTGACTAAATTATGAATCTGTTACGCGGAAGCGTGCACATAGACATATGTAGGAAGGGAGCCAGCACGCCGAAGGCGAGCCCCTGTTCCACCTGCTCGCAGCCCAATGCAGCTGCGGCACACGCGATGGGCAGCGGCGGTGCCCTTGCGTCGGCGGCGGAAGGCAGCGATGAAATAGTCATATGAACTTCCCCCCGCGGCAGTGTGAGCAGGCCCGCCAGTCAGCCCCCTTCGGAGTTGACAGACCCCATGCCAATCCCCGGCGCATGGCCCCCCCCGGCGCCAACGCAACCCCAGGAGCGTTTTGCAGCGCACGAGGCACTTTCCGAATGTGGGCGTGGATGTGTTGTCCTTTTCCTCTGTCTCTGCCCTTTTGGGCTCCCACTCCACTAGCGCTCGCGAAGGTAGAACCTCTCATTGCAATCGCGCGTGCTCCACCACTGCCATCTTCTCTCGCACTGATGGAACGCGCGCCATCCGGCGCCCACCTCATAGTGGCGGCTCGTACCCCATGGTCCAATATTGTTGTCGTCGCATTCCTTCTGGATTTCCTGGTTCACGCGATGCCGCTGGCGCCACAGATGCAGGGTCAGCCGACGCCCCTTCCGCCGCGACCACTTGACCGCCGACATGGAACTCACCTCTACGTTGGCGGCGGCGGCCGGGGCGTCCGACGGCCTAGCGGCGCCGGAAGAGGAGGTCATTGGCCCCTTCGCGGAAGTGGCAAGCCGCCGATTGAACCAGCGGTCGCACCTGGACTCGGGCCCACCTCAATCGCAGAACTTGTACCAGGAGCATTGCCGCTGGCTGAATCAGCGACGGCCCGAGACACTGGCGCACTGCTCGGGCTGACAAGGACGCCCGCGGCAACGCCGCCAACCCTGGGATATAGGATGGGGGGCGTCCATCCTCGATAGGGGTGCGCCCGAATAGCCCCTCTGGGGTGCATCCCAGGGTTTCTCCGTTTTCTCAGCGGCCAAACTTTTCGGGCAGAGCTCGGGGATTGGGGGAGACAAATCGCCTGCGATCTTCGCCAGGACAGTGGGGGCGTTGACCTAAGGAACTCCAAATAAGGAACGAGGCCCCTTTCTCCCATAAGTTGAACTTCGATTTCCCATGGGAAACCTCAGGAAAACCGAAGGCAAACTGCAGAACAATCAAGGAACACCGAGCCCCTCCCCAAAGAGAAGGGTTCCTTCTTCAGGGCCCCGACTGTACCTGCGGCCCGAAGCGCTCCTGCATGCTCCGCGCCAACGCACGGGGCGCCCGAGAGCGGCCGCCGCGCGCGGGGGCAGAGTTGGGCGGGAGGGCCGGGGCGCACCAGCGAGTCCGCGGAGCAGACTGCTATGTGCGACTCGTCGACGAAGCACCTCGCCGAATCCCAATCCTCCTTCGCTTCCTCCTCCTCCTCCTCCTCCTCTCCCTCTTTCTCCTCCTCTTCCTCCTCTTTCATCAGCGTTACCACCATCACCACACTTACCAACATCATCAGCAGCATCAGCATCAACAACATCAGCAACATCTGCATCAACATCTGCATCAGCATCAACATCATCGTCAACACTATTACCATCACCATCACCATCATCACAATCATCACAATCGCCATCACCATCACCATGACCATCATCACCATCACCATCCGCATCAGTTGCATCAGCATCAGCATCATCATCAGCACAATCATCATCATCATCATCATCATCATCAGCAGCATCATCATCACCATCAAGATAATAGTCAGCATCACAATCATCATCGTCATCATCATCACCATCAGCATCACCCTCAGTATCCTCATCCTCCTCCTCAGCCTCCTCCACATCATCATCATCCTCATCATCAACATCATCATCATCATCATCATCATCATCATCATCATCATCATCCGCCTCATCCGCCTCATCATCATCATCATCATCATCATCATCATCATCATCATCATCATCATCATCACCATCATCATCATCATCGTCATCATCATCATCATCATCATCATCACTACCATCACCATCAGCATCACCATCATCACCACCATCACCATCATCCTAATCATCTCCATCACTATCACCATCACCATTATCACCATTATCACCATACTCATCATCATTTCCATGATCATCACCACCATCATCAGCATCACCATCATTGACACCATTACCATGATGATCCATCACCATCACCATCACTATAACTGTCATTACCACCACCACCATCATCATCATCATCATCATCATCATCGTCCTCCTCATCAGCAGAATCATAATCAGCATCATCAGCATCATCATGAGCATCATTATCAACATCATCCTCATCCTCATCATCACCATCACCACCACCACCATCATCATCATCATCATCATTATCATCATCATCCTCATCCTCATCCTCATCCTCATCCTCATCCTCATCCTCATCATCGTCATCATCATCATCATCATCATCATCATCATAATCAGCATCACCATCACCATCATCATTGTCAACATCATCATCAGCATCATCAGCATCATCACCATGCTCATCAACATCGTCAACTTCATGCACATCCCCAGCCCCCTGAGAAATCAGCTCAAAATCACTCCCTGGACCCATTCTGGAATCCGTCCTGGTCGTCTTGTGCCGGATGGACGTCTGACGGTGCTCGGACACAAAAGCGCCTCCCAGACGCCGACAGCTACAAAAGATCGATCCCTGAATCCCACCAGCCCTTTAGGGCGTAGGTGGTCTAGGGAGTTTCCTCTTCCAACCCCCTTCTTCCCCTTCGGGGAGGGGTTTATCACTGTTCCCTATTAATATACACCACCTCCCCCAGGCGACTGGCAGCCAACCAGGAACAATGAGGTCACCATTAAGGCCATCCCCCCCACCATTCCTGTCAAAAAACAATACATGACGCACTCTGCTTCCACATTTGGAGTATGCGCGGCCGCCCCGCGATCACTTTGCATTGGTGGTTTACAGCGACGGCTGGGGTGCCAGCAGATCCCACCTGCCTTCTGGGCGCAGGTGGTCGACCGTCAGTGGCTGCTGCCTTTTCGCCTTATCGTTTCCGATGGGCTGTCGAAGCCTCCACATGGCTCGCAAATTGGCCAACAAAACTCAAAACCAGGCCCAAGAGATTTCCAAACCTGCCCCGAGAAGGCTCCAAATTGGCGCCACGAGGGCGCCAAGAGGCGGTTTTAGAGGCCTCTTAAATGGGGTCAGAATAGATGGGGTCGGAGGACCGCGCCGCATCGCCGACACATCGGCGATACATCGGCGACGCATCGGCGATGCATCGGCGATGCATCAGCAATGAGGCGTCGACGTCGGCGATGTATCGGCGACGTCGGCGTGGAGAAAATCGGGCTCTGCATCGAGCCGCATCATCGATGCATCGGCGATGCGGCGCGATCCTCCGACCCCATCTACTCGGACCCCATCTAGAAGACCAAGCGGTTTTGAGGGCCCCAGAGGGGGAGGCCTCCAGGTAGATGGCCCAAGAGAGCTCCATGCCGGGTCCACGAGGCCTCCAAGACGGCCCCAAGAGCTCCCCCAAATGGCCCAAAGGGGGCCTCAAGAGACTGTTTTGAAGGCCCCTGAAAGGGGGGCTAACCCCAAATCCGCCGACCCTGTCGGCGTGTGTGGGGTGTCTTTCCGGTCCCGTCGACGGGGAGCCTTCTGTCGTTCCCTCCTTCCCATCCTCCTCTCCCGTCGGGGGAGAGAGAGAGAGAGAGAGATAAAGAGAGAGAAAAAAAAAGAGAGACGCCCTTCCTCGTTCGGGGAACGGATTCGCAGCTTGAAGGAATTCCATTCACGTCCTCATTACGTCCCTTCTTCGGCGGGGGGGGTGGGCCCGGGGGGGGAGCGTCAGATTCGCATCGCCTCTGGGGGTCCTCCTCTCCCACGCCGGTTCTTCTCTGGCGCGCCGGTCCTCCTCGGGTCCTGCTCCCCAGGTGGGGAGGAGTCCCAAGCGGGGGGGGAATGAGATACGTATCCGTCCCTGGGGGTCCTCCTCCCCCTCCCATCCCCTCTCCCACGCCAGTCCTCGTCCAGTCCTCCTCCCCAGGGGGGGGGCCCAAGGGTGAGTCCTTGTCCTCCTCCTCCTCCTCCTTCTCCTCCTCCCCCTGCTCCTCCTCCTCCTCCTCCTCCTCCTCCTCCTCCTCCTCCTCCTCCTTATCTCCGCCTCCTCCGCCTCCTCTTCCTCCTCCTCCTCCTCCTCCTCCTCATCCTTCTCCTCCTCCCCCTCGTGGTCGTCGTCGATGTTTTTCAGGGTCGGCGGCACTGGCCGTCAGGCCTTCACAATAGGGAGGGCCTGAACGTCCGCCCCTTTTGTGCTTGATCGATTGCCTCCAAGATGGCCCTCAGAAGCTCCCCGCGGCTCCCACGAGGGCCCCAAGGGTGATGGCCCTAAAGACAACCGGAAACCCCGACCACGAGGCCGCAGCGTCGAAATCCGACGAAGCTCTTACAAGCAAGCGGTTGTATGAATTTGTTCGCCTGAATCAAACGGGACCCCAGAAAAACGTGGCCTGGACTCCAGGAGCGCCAGCAAGGCCAGGTTTTCAACTGGCCTTGCTGTCGCCCCTGGTACGTGCCGCACCTGGCGCGCCTGGCACGCTTGGGCGTTAAGGGTCTGGTGCAACCCGTGGCGTCTGCGGCGTTCTTACGCGATATGCTGACATCCAGGTGTTACTCATGCGTTGGGGGGGGCGGGTGGGGAGTGAGCAAGACGGCTTGCGGGCGGGTGGGAAGCTTGACCCTTCCCCCTATCCCCTCCCCTGGACCTGGACGGGGGGGGCGGCGAGGGGCTGGAGCGTCCAAGATGGCCCAAGATAGCTCCAAGAGGGAAAGCCCCAGATGAGCTCCAAGATGGCTCAAGGTAGCGCACGATGTCTCAAAATGGCCCCCAAGATGCTCCAAGAGGCCCCTAAGAACGTCCCAGGAAGGCGCAAAGAGGCCTCCGAGACCTCCAAGGAGGCCCCCAAGAGGCCAAAATCCTTCAAACACC